TCTAAGAGAGTATTTTCTGGGAGATGGTTTCAAAAATAAGCTTATTTGGAAGACTACTTCAAATGGCAGGTTCTCTTCTAAATATTTCTGCCGATTAGCTTGTAATTCTGATTCTTCTATGTTTTGGAAGGGAATTTGGCATGGGATGCACCATATAGGGTGGAAGTGTTCGTGTGGCAGTTAAATTGGAACTAATTAATGGGGAAAAAGCTTAATGTGCAATTTGCAATCAAAGTCTTGGGACTGTCAATCATCTATTTTTTTTCATGCAGTGAAAATTGGAGATTATCTGACTGACGGATTAACTGGGTATCTCTTGCGAACCCAAGAGAACTTTCCTTCTGTGGAGGTTGAGTTGTGGTTTTGAAGACAAATGGAAGATCTAGACGATGGCCTTTTATGCTTTCACATGGTTAATCTGGTTTTTTTGGTAATGACGCTGTCATTTTTTTTTAAAAAAAAGTAAAATTTATTGTTCATTACCCAGACTCTCATTGGTATGAAAGAAAACCGGTATGATAAGAAAGTCAGAACAAAAAGGTTCATACACTGCTTACATAACCCAGCAGCATGCCCTCGTCAATCAGAACCTCACAAAAAAAACTCTATCTTACCTAAGATCAAAAACAATAGCAAGGAACAAAGAGGCTAAACAACAACGACATAATGACGCTGTCATTAATGGGAAGATTTAGGATATGAGGTAGTGTTATGATTTAATTAAAATGCGTACAGTTGTTTGGTGTAAAGCTAAACGATCAAAGATGACGGATTTAATTGAGGACATCTATAGGAATCCAAATGTTGCCCCAATTAGTCCTAATATTACGGTTAAGAGGCCATCCATGCAATGTGAGGCTCCAGATTTTGACTGGATAAAATTCAATGTGGAAGGGGTGTCAGCTGGTAATCTGGGAGAAGCAGGCATTGTTGGGATTGCTCATGATCACATGGGTATAGGTCGATTAAACGCTGGTAATCTGGAAGAAGCAGGCAATGTTGGGATTGCTCGTGATCACATGGGTACAGGTAGATTAAAATTTTCGAGATCTGTGGGCACATGCGATGCTAATCAAGTTGAAGTTATGGCTATTAGAGAGGCATGTGCTTTATTAGATATTTATTAAATATCTGTGGGCATTTGCGGTTTTGTGTCAATGGGGCTGAGGTAATGCTTTAAGTTATGTGACTTGGGAGTTGGAATGTGCTTGATGTCTCACTGATTTTCTTCGCTCAATTATTTGTTTTCAAAATAGTGGGGCCCCGCTTATAGGTGTTCAACTGCTGCTTAGACAATTACAATTATAAGGATATTTATGATTTAATTATGGTTTGATTGCAGGAGCCCAGTAGAAGAATTGTTTCTGGTCTCCATTCAGATATGCTTTAATTTATACAATAAATAATGGATAATTAAGGTGATTCGAACAAGCTATCATGGAATAAAGTGTTTCATATGAATTGTGGGCTGTGTGTTGATGTCCGTCGGTAGTTATGCAGCTTTGAGCTAATTTTTATTTTTTTAAAAAAAAGCAGTTTGTGCCTACACGTCCCTAAATTTGGATCTAAAATGTACAAGGGTTCTCTTAGTTTTTCTTTTATTTTTATGTAATTATAAAGTCCAAATGCTTTCTGCTTTGGCACTTAGCAATAAAATTGCATACTTTTAAAAAATCAAAATTTAAAGATTTAAGAGTGAAAAATATTACTTTTGCTTTTAAAACTCATAACCAAAGTTCAAATCTTTTCAAAAATAGTAATTTGGATAGAAAATGAGTTGAGAAAACATTAGGATTGAGAAAATGCCACTCAAAATCAGCTAAAAGTCATAAATCTGATATATTTATAGTTTGAGATGTAAAAATATGTTTTTACAACTTTTATTTTTCTGATTTTGATGTAATCTATCAATAAAATAGGTTTTAGGGTCATTTTAAAAATCTTTTGGGTTTTTATTGTCCATCTATCAATAGATAGGTCCGATCTATCAATAGATGTTCTTCCATTCTATTTAAAAACTTTTTAAGTTTAATTTATCGGTTGATTTTGTTTAAAATATACTTTGAGTGTCTTTAACTTTAATACCATTTAAATAAATATTTTTATTTTTTATTTCTTTCCTTTTTACTTTCTATTTACTTAGAATATTCAATATAATTAAACAAACACTCCATTTGAATTCAATAAAAATATCTAAAAAATCAAATTTTAAAAGAATCAAAATCTAAATTTTAATTTCAAAAACAAACTAAAAAAATTGATTAAAATTAAAGTTGCGGCTCATTTATCATAGCAAACGTATTTAAAAAATTATGAAAAAAATTTTTTTGGGTTATTTAAATATCAACGGAACTATTATTGTTATTTTTTATTTTTAATAAATTATTTTATAAAAATTACATATTTGGACTCTTTTCAAATTTAAAAAAATTTCTACTTTAACAATAAAAGCCAATCAAGGTGGCAGCCATAAAAGATAAAAGAATACATAGAATGGACTACAACCAATAAACAAAATCAAATATGATAAATGTTCAAAGCTGATTTAAGGATTTATAAAACTAAAGTTGAAGGTTTCACAAGGTTGGTGAGGTTAGAGTATGGAAGACGGGTTTTTATGCTTTGGTGTGGTCTTTGTGGTTGGTAAGAAACGAGGTTGTATTTAATGGCGAAGTTTAAGATCTCAATCAGGTTTATGAATTATTTCAACTTTGCATTGCTTCGTTAGCCAATGCAAAACTGGGCAAGAGAGTATGGAGGGATATTGGATACATTCAGGGCACCAACTTTAGGAGTTGGTATTAATAATAATAAAGAAAAAAGCAGGGCAGCGGTGTAATGGGCAAAGTCAGCTGTCAGATCAATGTAAAGTTAATGTAGACAGACTAGCGACTGGTGTCAGAGACGGGCACGATTTGGCGAAACTCAAATGGTGAAGTGAAAATGATGTTCTCAAAATTCATTGGAGCAGGAGTCTATTCTAGCGGAAATCCTAGCAATAAGGGAAGCCTTGTTATTTTCAGCTTCACATTGGAAGGACAACGATGTTTTGTTGGTGGACAGCAAATTGTATGAATGCTGTCATGTGACTACAGACACCACTAGAAGCTCCATGGAGATTACGAAAATGGGTCTTGCACATTGAAACACTAAAAAAACAACTGGTTAAGTGCGAGAGTAAACATGTGCTCCGCGAGGCAAATCAACAAGCGGATAACTTAGCCAAAGCAAGGGCAAGGAGAGAGGTGGAGCTGCTGAATATGTGGGATGAAGACCAAAGCAGTGGTGAAAGATCGGGTGAAGAGATCAGCAGCTGAGTCGGTTGGTAAGAGGAACACTTTACCTATAAGTTTTGGTTCGGGAAATAAATAAAAATAGAATTGAATAATTATTTTATAAAAATAAAATAAAAAAAAAATTGAATATTTATTATTTAGTTTGATATTAAAATAAAGTAGAAATAATTATTATGACTTATTACAGTATTTAATTGGTAAAAATAATTGTGAAATAAGAAATAAATAGAATACACTTTATTCTTTATATTATTATTTTTTATTATTTTATTTTTTAAATATTAATATTTTATTTATAATTTAATCAATAATATTATAAAATACTAATATATTATTTGTAATTTGAATGTTATTATGATTATTTATTTTTATTTTTAAATATTAATATTTTATAATTTATTTAAAATATTAATATTTTGATAATTTAAATATTAATATTTTATTTATAATTTAATCATTAAAATTTTAAAATATTAATATTGTATTTATAAATTAACTATAATTGTGATTAAAATATTAATACTTTTAATTAATTTTTAAACTCAAAATATTTTTAAATATATAATTGAAAACTTAAACTCTTTATTATAATAAGATTTATTTTCATCAAAAACAAAGATACTCTTTCAATAATTTAGTAAAATTTATACCAAAAGATAAAATTAAGTAAATTTTTTCTTTTTTAATAATTTTATGTTTATTAAAATTAAAATTTTAATAATTTAATAATTTATTATTAAGTGTTAGTATAAATTTTTTTTATTTTTTATTTTGTATTTTTTAATTTAAATGTTCACTTAAAAATTTTAAAATTAATATTGTTAAAATATTAATATTTTATTTATAATTTAAATATTAAAATATTAAAATATTGATATTTTTTAATTTTTTTTAATGTAAAACATTAATTTTATAAGTTTAAGTTTGTAATTTTTTTAAAAAAGTAAGAATATTTTAATCCAAAATGTTTTGAGTTCTATTCTCATGAGCATGGAATAGCTAATACCATGAGCAGAGGTGGTATTAACTATTCTAAAGTTTAGGCTGATTTTGAGGACTAGCCATTCCAAAGGAATGGCTATTCCTTCTTCCATAAACATACCAAATATAGAGAGAAATTTTTTGAAGAAATAGAGGCCATTCTCCTAACCAAACATGCTATACAAGTTTGGTTTTCTTTATGTTTGAAAGTGCCCTTGTCTTGTCTTTCTTGAACCTGCCCGTGGGATTTGTGGCTGCTGGTAGTGGAAAAGTTTGATTGTGCTTCTCCCTTTCCGTGTACTGGGGATCTTTTGCATATTGTTGTGATTGAACAGGGTAGGGATTTTTTATTTTGTTATATCTAATGATTGAGGTTGTTGATATGGTAAGCCCCTGGTTCCTTTGTAAGGGGCACAAACTGGCAAAATCAATATAAGGAGGTGAACTAAGGTTCCCTTTGTATTTAATCAAACTAATTTTTCAAAAAAATTAAAAAAAAAACTCCAATTATAATAATCATAATAGATGGATGAAGGGTTCCTTTAAAACAAAATAAAAGATAGCAGCAAAGTGAATAATAGAAATATTTTTGAAGCAGCATGAAATTTCAATTTATTCAATTTTTCTTCGATTTTGTTGAGGTTCATTTAAATTAGCTTACTGTTAGATTATTAATAGATTATTAATATATATATATATATATATTCAAATATTGATAATATTGCGTGGTGACGTCGTTTATATAAGATCCCTTGCTTTCCATTGTATGCTTGAAACCAATAAGAGCTTAAAATTTTTGTTTTCTGAGAAAATGGCTTCTTCTGTCACTCAGGAAGACAAGTACCGTTCTTACTTGCACGGGGAGGGTGAAAAGAACACTAAGTGGAAGTTTGGTGCTCCTCCTAACTATGATGTTGTTAACAAGCTCTTTGAAGAAGGCAGAACTAAGGTTTCTTTTTCCTCTGTACAATATACATGGGTGTATATCAGTATATGGATTCAATGTGTCACTAATCAGTATGACAGTCTGGTTTTTCATTATATTGATGACAGATATGGCCTCCTGGATCACTTGAAGAAAAGGTCCAGAACCTTGTCAAGACATGGGAAATGGAAATGTTCCATAAAATATCCTTTGACGACTACAAGTCGGTTAATCTGGAGAACTATACTGTCAGTGTAAACGGTATGATCACCATTTCTTTTCCACTTTTTCATCATTAAGATCCATCTTAGGTTTATCTTTTCATTAGTCAGAGACAAAAAAATAAAAATAAAAGAAGCCCTGATTTTTTGACATAATATTCAGGAAGGAAACCTTTGACTTTGGAAGAAAAGAGAAAGCTTGGGGGAGGATATAACTCCTTCATGCAAACATCCTTACCAGAGAACTTGAGGGGCTACAACCCAGCAGAGGAAACTGCAGATTCCTCTCATGTTGCCTTCACAACAGCGTTTCCAAGAGGGTTTGCTCTGGAAGTTATCCAGGTTTATTCAGGGCCTCCACTGATTGTGTACAAGTTCAGGCACTGGGGTTATATGGAGGGTCCTTTCAAAGGCCATGCCCCAACTGGGGAACTAGTAGAATTGTACGGAATATCAATTGTGGAGGTACATGTTAACTCCTATAATTCTTGGTTCTTTTCTCTTCTATCCTGTGAATAAATTCAGCGTTTCTCTGTTGAAATAGGTCGATGAACAGATGAAAATCTTGAAGGTCGAGTTCTTTTTTGATCGTGGAGAGCTGCTTGGAGGTCTTATGACAGGTGCTAAACTGGGTAGTACTGGCACTGATCAGGTGGCTTTGAGCTGTCCATTCTTGAGGAAAACAGGATAGCCTGCTTGAATGCCTATGCATAATTTTCTGTGTTTATTTTTTTTATAATTGGAAGTAGAGGATTTGAATCTTGCTCTTCAGGCAAAGAATCATACACTATCTAATGAACTAAATGTTCGGGTGCATGCATAATTTTCTGTGTGATTAATAAAAATGAAGGATCTTTCCAAAATGCTCTCTCCTTTGATTGACTTGCGTTATTCACTTATTCTAGCAATATTGTTGGATTGTAGCAGCTCACAAACACAATGCGCTCAAAGTATTGCAGCAGCTAACTGAAAGAGCCTGCTGCACTTGTGTTCTGATGCAGAACCACGAGTGGATTATTTTTAAACCAGCTAGTGTTATTGCTCTCATCTGTAAGCTGGAAACCTTGGGCGATTGTAATCTTTTGAAGCAGCTATTTGGCTGAATCCTTACTGCTACAAGCAGAATATTAACGAAATCCTAATTATTGGCTGAGGTATATATATATACATATATAGAGGCGAGTCAGTGTTGATCACTTTAGTCATTAACTACTCTCACTATAACTGAAATATTGTCCCCTTAAATAATGTTGAACTTAAAATATCTCAACTAAGAACATCACATTCATACACGAAAGTCTTCCGCGAAGGTATGCAATTGAACCAAAAATCTAGCATTGCAGAGAGATATGAAACTAGACTGAGAACCAACACTCCAATGACAGAAAACTTGAATGATATGGAATTGCTGCTGAAAAAGCTTATCAAAGCAAGCAAATATGAAACTTGAAGTGGAAAACCAAATCCAACCTGAAATGAAGCATGAGCAGCAGAGTCTGCCATACTTCAACAAATATGTCTCTTTAAATTAATAAACTACATTGATCAGTTTCCTGAAGAAGTAAGTGAATACAAAATTTATGGGAACCAAATAGTAGCAATCAATCTATAAGCCAAAGAGCAGAAGATTGCCGAGTAGTATCTTGGGAGAATCAAACAACGTAGAGCCAAATAGCCTGAGTTAACCTGGACTGAACTTACCGCCTCGAGAAGAAGGAAAAATTATCGAAAGCTATCAATAGAAATATAAAACTTATGCATATCGAAACTTTTTCTAACTGTGCTCTAATAGATACCGCCAATTGTAAACCTTGGACAACTGATGTACACTACACAACCCAAACTTTATTCTACACCTAAAATCTTGAATTTTTCTTTGACGATTGACCTATATCTACGCCGTGAAGCAATGGGGTTCAGCTTCACCTACCTCCCAGTTCCAATCAACATTTTTTATCATGAATTTTTTTGAAATTCAGTTGACTAAACTAACCATTTCGCATTTAATTAAGTGTTAAATCAAGATATGTATCATGTATCAAAATCTTATTTTTTTTTATTAACTGAATATGGTAACATACAGTAAAAAATTTTAAAATTAATTATAAATAACATTTATATAGGTAAAATAAAAAAAATTGAAAAATATTAATTTTTTAACAAAATTGAAGATTATAGGATATAAACGGAAAAGATTATTAATTTTTTTAATTTAAACTTTCAATATACTTTTTAATAATATAGATTTTTAAATAAAATATATTTATTTTTATATTAATTTATTAATTAAAAATTAAAAATATTTATCATGTTAAAATTAAAAAGGAATTTGGTTCTTTTTGTATTTTTTATTAAAATCTAAAGATTGAAATTCATAAAATATAATTTTTCATATTTCAACTCAAAAAATAATAAAAAAATAAATTTTTTAATAATTAATTAGAACTAGCTTATAAGAAGTGTATCGATTGTATTGTATGATACACCTCTTCATAAGATTGCGATATAGATATAAATACAAATAATTTTTTATTAATATTATATGGTGTTGTGTGACATCTTACTATATACATATTACATATTGTATGATAATGATAATTAAAAATTACAAGGAAAGTAGTAAATTTGATTGAGTTCGAAACTCTTACTCTGCAACAGCAAAATCATTCAATGAGCTCAACAGCCATCGAGAAATATTAGTATCTCTGTAATATGTTTATGTCATCCCATTTTATGTCACTGCTTACGTCCTTGATTAATCCAATGTTGCATTCGTAATATTAACGAACAATGCTGTTGGCTTTTTCCCATCAAAGTCACCACGTAAATAGTTTATAATTTTTTATTATTTTTTTTATAATTGGAGGAAGAAGGATTCGAACCCTACTTTTTAAGTAGAAGATTCATATAAAGTGTTATATTTGGTTATTTACTAAAATCCCCCTTTGGAGGCGAAGGATGGATTGTTAGTGTGGACGATTTGGAAGATATAATTGGAGGGCATGTATGGTTAGGTTCCATTTGTATATTTGGTGGAATCTGGCATATCTTAACCAAACCTTTTGCATGGGCTCGCCGTGCACTTGTATGGTCGGGAGAGGCTTACTTGTCTTATAGAGCTTACCCTCTCCTTCTCTTCTCTATTCATATTCCAAAATATCGAAACTGATCAGTAATCCAAGACCAGAATATTTGGAGGATTCTTCTGACCAAAATAGAAAATATATCAAAAAACTAAAAAGTATAAT